ACTAAGCTTAATACACTTTATGAGATCTTCAAATGGTGTACGATGCTTAACTCGTGAACGAGACTGGGTTCAGTTCGAACTCGGTTAGTATCGTTGCGCTCCCGATGTGTTAATCCCGGAAGGGCGAAATTCTAGTAGTTGGTGTGGTGATGGTGAATAAGAGGTTTCTCTCCGTAAGAATATTTTTGAACTCCTTTATTTGCGATGGTGCGTGGGTATATATTAGGTCGGTGTATGTTGTGATTGGTTGGACGTTGAAGGTGGTGGAAAAGAAGGTCTCGAAAAATGCGGAGGTGTGATTGGATATTAGGAAACTAGTGGAAGGAGAACGTGAGGGTGAAGGTGGTGGGCAAAAGTTGAAATAATTTGGGGAAAACCCGGAAAGGGGAAAGGGATAGGAAACATGACCAGGTAGGGAAGGAATTTGTTAGGGGCTAGGAAAGGACTGTTTATTAATTTGTGATGTGTTACTGGCCGGTGGGCTGCGCGACCGGACACTGGTACTCGAAGCTTGATTAATTAATAATCATATTTAACATCCAACTTACGAACACTCAAAACTAAATAATTAACAAACGTACATTTCATTTTCCCACCGATGTTTACGTATATCCACAGTATTTATTTACCTAAAAACTTTTCATTAGGCGATCGACGCAATTATTTCGTTCTTGTGTCCAAAATATCCCACTTTAATACCAAATCCACTTTTTTCAGAGTCATTTGAACGTTATCAGAGATTCGTAAAGGAGCTTAACGAAAATTCCTGTTTCTCGTCGCTACGTAGATATTTGTCGTCGAGCTTTCAACACTCTATTTCGCACAGAGGGTGGAAAAAGAGAGAGAGAGAGAGAGAAAAAAAAGGAAGGTTCACCGAAACGACGCGAAATAATTCTGGAAAATTCAATTCGACCGTATCACCGGCTAGAGTATTTTTACGTCGTTGTTGTTCGGTTTACGCTTGCGGATATAATGAACTGGGCACCGGGAAAATGGGGGAGGGTTTCACCGGTGTGCCGAAAAATCGCTCGGATTCGTATTAAAATTCCGATTGGTTCGGTGTTTACGCTCCGGCTATAATCCTCTTAAAGCCGTTTTGCAGAGTTAAAATGGCCAGAATTTGTATTATTATTGTCATTACGTTGCCCACCGTTCTGTTTTAATGCTCTATTCGGCGATTCTTTATCGCGACAAAAATTGTAGCTTCGTTTCGCCAGATATTCGTACGAATACAGGACCTTGTAACCAACTTGGAAAATTTACGCACACCTATTCACAGCTGCGAACGCGAACGCTGGGCCCGTATGTCGGTTGTATAAAGTACGTGAACTCGATAATATTCGATCGGAATTGAGCACGAGATAAATGCAAATGTATGGAAAACGTTGTTCTTTATTGCTGGGATTGGTTATGATTTCGAAGAAAGTTTCTGTTTTAAAAAGAATTACATTTCTTTTGTTTTTACTGGCGATTGTACGAATGTGATTTATTCGTTAGAGATAAATATTGAAATTTTGCAAAGTGTAACGGTGTAGTGATTGAAATTTTAATTGTGCTCGATTTGCGTGTCGCTTGGAACAAAATAGAGAATAAAGTACGGATCATCTGTTTATTCGATTTTTAACGATCAGTAAAGAGAAGAAACTTCGAAGGAAGAAGGTTCAAGAATCGAGTATACGAACAGGTCAAGCAAATTGACTGAATAGAATACTAACGAGCTGAACGAATCGGAGGAGTTCATGAATTCAATTGACTAATTGCCACGCTCGTTTTATATATCTCCGTTTCCTGAATTTTTCATTGTGCGAAATTAATTGTCCCCCGGCTAGTACTGACTTGTTTCACTCTTTAACGTATGTTTCAAGAGTATACTAAAATTTTTATTAAACTTTCAAGCTGACTGATTTAGCAAGAATGTGAAAGAGAATCTTCAATTGAATTACGGATAAATGATTTTATGCTTGCAATTGTATTTCGTATAAATAATACCGTAGGCAACGAAATACTGTAGGTACTTCACAGCAGACGATTAAGTCGGTTTTAATTAGATTCAGTGGACCAGTAACCTATTTAAATGGATTCTTTATTGACTTTCGCTGGATACAAGAATTCTTTGTACGGTCCTGACCATGGTTTCAAGTACTTATCTGCTCGTATTTCTGTCAATTTCGGGGTCCCGGCAGCTAAAACATGTTTACTTTGACGCCTAACCGATTTTACGACCTCGCTATATCGTGGCCCCGACTATACACGTATTATGACCAGATCAGGATGAAATTCTGATTAGATCAGATTCGATTATATTTAACTTATATGGTAAAAAAAATTAAATCTTGTCGGTTGGTGCGGTATAAAGCTAAACATGCTTTTTCTCAAGTGTGCTTCTTCTCATCGCTACAATCTGTGCATGCTACTTTTCTTGGCAAGTTACTCGAACGTGTTAGTTTTCACAGCGAAAAACAAAACATGTTATTTTTCGTAGCCGACCATTTAAATGTGTTACTTTTCGCGACGAAAAACGAAACGTGATATTTTTCGCGACAATGTAAACAAACGGCGACCAGGATGCGACTTGAACTGTTTTATGATAGGGAAGGAATTTGTTAGGGGCTAGGAAAACGGCTGGAAAGGACTGTTTATTAATTTATGATGTGTTACTGGCCGGTGGGCTGCGCGACCGGAGTTTCCGTGAAGTTTTCCGTGAAACAAACGGACTTGCTACTTTTCGTAACGCATGTCGAATAAATACAATTGCATGAAATTTAATTAAAACCTCTCGAACAAAAAATTAATTTGTTTCGGGTCTATGTTGAACTTTCTACACTCACGACGCCATTGACATTCAATCAAATGTTCGGTAATCATTTCTGTCGATACATTTCTTGATTTAACAAAGTTTTTAGCTGGACAGCATGTTGATTCCATGTTGATTATCTTTTCAAGGGACTGCGAAGCAGTTCTTCTTCGAAGGCACTGGCATCGTCACTCTTCCTTTGGCACGTGTACGTTTCGGCATGCGTACCTCTCGTCTCGTACCACCAAATTTCTTTACATTCGATTTTCGTTGATTTTGGGTTAGGTTTGAATTAGGTATAATTGCTTCCAAAATTATATCAGTAAAAACTGGTTTCACGTCGATGAATATTGTACGTTGCGAGTTGTCTGCGGTGTTCTTTAAATATCTATAACTTCGTTACTATTACGAATTGGGGAAAATCCTTCCGCAAATACAATTTCGAAAACGTTAACTTTCCGAAAATGCAGAAGAACAATCAATTTTTCGAAAAGTCTATACTACAATAGCCCCGAGGAATACTATATATAGTTGGGGCCACGATATAGCGAGGTCGTAAATTAAACTCTCAAGAATCGGCATCGATTGATGTTGCGGCACTCAAGGCCGTGTGTTGCAGTCTGTTTGAGGGTTCCAACAATAAACGAATGGTAGCATATGATTTGGTACTTCAAGTAGAAAATGGTATTTCATTTACAAATGGAAAATATGTTAATATTAAAGCTACACAATCCTTTTGCATTTTCTATCTGCATCTTGTAACCGTACTTCCAAATGCGGCTTTTCCCAGAAGAAAAAAACCCTAAATTGTCCTAGCTGAACTCAATTTTCAGTAAATATATTAGAATCACTCTTCAAAGCCAATCGCGAGACAATTGGGTAGCTTTGGGGCTGCTGATGGTTTGGGAGTGGTCGAACAGCTTTTTACGACAGGTTATGCATATGATTTTGTCATAGAAAGAAGAACGGTTTTAAGAAGGATAAATCGTATCTCATCGATTTCTTTGTTATGAAATGAATAAATAATGAGAAATATGAATAATACATGTTTATATAGATTACGTTCTATTTTGTGCGAGTTGGAAGTATTTCAAAAAATCAAGAACGCTTGATGTAATTTGTGACCAATTTACTTTAGCTGATTATAATCTAATAATAACTTTATTCTGTATTTTTGCATTGTTTTTTGAAGTAGGATTATTGTAAAATATTTCACATTCGTTTTATGTATAGTTGGGGCCACGATATAGCGAGGTCGTAAATTAACCTCTCAAGAATCGGCATCGATTGATGTTGCGGCACTCAAGGCCGTGTGTTGCAGTCTGTTTGAGGGTTCCAACAATAAACGAATGGTAGCATATGATTTGGTACTTCAAGTAGAAAATGGTATTTCATTTACAAATGGAAAATATGTTAATATTAAAGCTACACAATCCTTTTGCATTTTCTATCTGTATATAACACGAGCAGGTAAATGAAGATGTTAAAGACCTCAATAAGACCTTTACTTGTAACCGTACTTCCAAAAGCGGCTTTTCCCAGAAGAAAAAAACCCTAAATTGTCCTAGCTGAACTCAATTTTCAGTAAATATATTAGAATCAGTTTGACTTTCGCTGGATACAAGAATTCTTTGTACGGTCCTGACCATGGTTTCAAGTACTTATCTGCTCGTATTTCTGTCAATTTCGGGGTCCCGGCAGCTAAAACATGTTTACTTTGACGCCTAACCGATTTTACGACCTCGCTATATCGTGGCCCCGACTATACACGTATTATGACCAGATCAGGATGAAATTCTGATTAGATCAGATTCGATTATATTTAACTTATATGGTAAAAAAAATTAAATCTTGTCGGTTGGTGCGGTATAAAGCTAAACATGCTTTTTCTCAAGTGTGCTTCTTCTCATCGCTACAATCTGTGCATGCTACTTTTCTTGGCAAGTTACTCGAACGTGTTAGTTTTCACAGCGAAAAACAAAACATGTTATTTTTCGTAGCCGACCATTTAAATGTGTTACTTTTCGCGACGAAAAACGAAACGTGATATTTTTCGCGACAATGTAAACAAACGGTTTCCGTGAAGTTTTCCGTGAAACAAACGGACTTGCTACTTTTCGTAACGCATGTCGAATAAATACAATTGCATGAAATTTAATTAAAACCTCTCGAACAAAAAATTAATTTGTTTCTTCTCGTTTCACAGGGCCAGTCTGGAAACTTACAGTTTCATAGCAGAATTGGACATCTCGAAGCTCTCTATAGAGGGCGAATACGACGTGGATGGTAAATTGATTTTACTAGCGATTCGTGGATCCGGCCCAATGTCTGGAAACTTCACGAACTGCAGGGGACTGGTGAGGCTGCAAATGACGATGAAAAAAGGACAAGACGGCGAGGATTATCTCACCGTGGCCGACCTTAAGGCGAAAATATCAGTGGGAGGTGGTGTCCTGAAGTTACAGAATTTGTTTGGCGGTGATCCAGTCCTCGGCGAGGCCATTAACATGGCCATCAACAGCAACTTTGACGCGTTCATCAAGGAGCTGACGCCCTCGCTCGAGAACGCGATCTCAAATACTTTTACAAAAATCGCGAACAGTATTCTTCCGTTATACCCCTACAACGTACTTTTCCCAGCTTCGTAAGGAATTTTCACGCGAATCACAACGGATGGCGGTCATTTTTGTAGTATTAATCGCGTGTTTGCGCCACTCTTCGTGTGATTTGCCAACGTTTACCTCATTTTGAAAACCATTGAAGTATATATAATGCACCCTCGCGACAAAAGTGCGGCAAGTCGAAAATTTGTAATTTTCAATTTATTGTTTGGAATATCTTCTATGTAAATTCATCGGAAGAAATGTCGGAACTTGAACTGTAAATTTTAACTGACGTATGTTTCATAATATTGTAATTAAGTAATTTTTCAAACAGAAAGTTTCTTTTCACGTTGTTCAAAAATTTCATGTTTTCCACTTGTGACAGTTTTCTCGCCAGGCTGCGACATGTTAATGAAAGAAATCTATTTCTGAAGTATTGTCGGAGTTTGAGAACCTTTTGAAACGTGGACTGTGATTAACGGTGACACGAATTGTTGGTAATTGCGACAATTTTGCCTAATGTACTACAACTGTATACGAAAGCTTTTCTTTTAAATGTTAACGATTGTGTCAGTTCCTTTTAACGTTAATTTTTATATTCAACGTTGCACTTGATGGAGAAATTAACAGTTAGATTTATTTTCATCACTTAATTAGTGTGTAACAAGCGTAATATTGAAATTCTTCAGTGGCCATTTTTCTTTCGTACTCTTTTACCATTGCTCCTCGATAGATTCACACGTGAAAATGAATTTTGCATGATTGTATTTTTTATTGAACGTGTAATGTACAAAAAATAAAAAGATTAATTACGGCTGTTACGAACCCACTGCCTTTCCCCCACACATTGCTGTTAGATACTATTATAATATTATTATTAACATTAGTGTAATTAGATACTATTATAATATTATTATTAACATTAGTGTAATTAGATACTATTATAATATTATTATTGTAGGAATAGGGTTTTATTAAAGTATCTGCAGTAAATTCTCCACAAGTGTCAGTCCGCAAGGAACCTAAACCTGACACTTGTAGAATCAGGGACTACGTTTTCGAGACTCGCGCCCGCCTTTGTAGTTTGCCGAATGTAGACAAGGACAGCGAATAAAAGGTAAGGATGAAACGTGAGTCGAGGCAACCAAGCGATTTAAATACCAACTTTTTTAATTTTACGTTTTTTTATCCCGAAATTTTTCTTAACATATTGATAAGATAACACGTTCACTGTCTGGCGTGACAATGAATAAGTAAATGTTGTTCAAATTATGTCGTGTTTGATATCATTTTCATCAGAAAAATCTCACCAACATGTTAAAAAAAATTTCAGATGAAAAAAATTAATTATTTTTCTATTATGAATTGTCGAGCCGTGAAATCTCGTAAAAGAAACCAAGTGGTGTAGCGTTACACGCTAGGGGCGTAGGACCATCTGTACTGACACTTGTAGAATCCAAACTGACTGACACTTGTAGAGAATTTACTGTATTCCGCTAGTTACAGAGATAACACGACGAGTAAAACTAGTTCGTAGGGCCTACACTGGCCTTATCGTACCTGATCGTATCGTATCGTATCGTGGCATATTCGTATCGTAGCGTATCGTAGTTACTTCCAGACTCCTTCCAAACTTCTTCCAGACTGATTTCTCGTGTCACGGGCACGTGCTTTTATCCTCGTCCAGTCCGAACGTTCCCGACATTTTTTCTAAGCTCGGTACGTCCGGACTAGCGATGTTGTCTGCCCGGTCGCGTTACGTTAGAATATTTTTGGAGCTAATGTTCACATAGACACACACACTCATGCCTGCCGGCACGTGCCGATCAGCCGGTAAATACATCGAGAAGATTCGATTGTCCGTGTTCGCGATTCCTTTCATCATGCCTGCTTCCCACATTATTAACATTATTATTATTAGATATTATTATTATCATTACCAAACACCTTTATAATTATAAACCAAAAACGCCAAGCAACCGCCTAAGGTAGGAAAGGGGCGAAGTCCGGAGAAACCCAGGAAGCGACGCTCGACTCCAGGCCCTTTTCCTTACCATTGATTGGTCGGAAGCAAGGTGCCAAAACTAGTATTCTGGAATTTTACGCCTTTAACCAAACCCGAAACAAAAGCGATCTCAACCGTTACGGCCCGTTCCGTAACAACGGTGGTTTACAGATTTTGTCATTTACCCGGATTGAACTAACAATATTTCATGAAAAAAAATGCAGAAAAAGGAACACAGGACTTTAGACCAGCAGCTTTAAGACAATATATTATTAACATCGAGCAATACATTTCTTTAACAAAATATTCCAAGTAGCTTACGCTTTATATTAACAAATACAAATATAATTATACATCTACAAGTTACAATTAATTAATCCATTACATCCAATCGAATATTAAGAAATATTTCTTAAAAATCTCCAAATTAAAAATTCTGATCATTCATAAACAGTTATAAATCTGTACTCGACGAACAACTATGCTCTCGATCAAACGAAAAAATTTTGAGGAACAAATGTAGGCCGAAATGTATCAGCCATCAGGTTCAGCTTGTCTTTCCTTTTCGCAAGTGTTTATTCTCGATCAGGGAAGAGTTCGTCGTAAGTGAAATGCTTGCAGATTTTATTGGCCATTTCCAAGCATCTTTGAGAAATGGCTTTCTCTATGTTAGGTTTGGTGGCGTCCAATATTTCCTGATGACTGTTACCCAACGCTTGACTGACTGCTTGCTGCAGAGCTTTGTCGAAGTTGGTCAACTCGAATTTAACGTCGAAATCTTTCACGGTCAGACGTGTCGTCATCGACGGGAAGTACATGTATCGTTTGCCTTTGTGCTCCACTATTTTGTAGTTCATTCTAACCTTTGCGTTCACGTCCTCTGTAAGAGAAAGATTATTTATTTATTTTAACGAGATGAACCCTTTGGTACAAAAAAGATATAACATAGGGGACACAAAACAAAGAAGAAAAAGAGAAAAGAAAGAAGAGAAAGATGGACATACAGGTTTAAGAGATCGCGAAGAATAAATACTGAAGTATACGCACTGAGGAGTGTATTAAGGATGTTAAGGATTGACTAAATAAATCAATATTATGATTGACAAAGTTAGCATGGTGTGCCATTCGATTCATACAGTTAAAGTAACTATATGATGTGCGCTAATTATTATTATTATACGGGTCGAGCCCATTAAGGAGTACAAAAGAATACAATAGTAAGTAAATAAGAAGAGGAAAAAAAGAAGAAATGTTATTAAGAAGTATCACATGATAAAAGGGTATTGTACAGCTTCATTTTAAATGCGGTTAAGTGTCCAGAGAAGAAGTCGACATTTTGTTAATTTAGTAATTCTATTTAATGGATCCCGGGAGCCATAGAATGTTTTGATAGTTGACGGCAGAAACGTCGATCTCTTCCTTGTGCATCTGGGCGGTACATACAGATGAATTTTCTCCAAAAGGGATGCGGAGTTAATTTCACCATTAATAATTTTAAATAAAACTGAAAGGTCTGTCTGCTACAATTCTGCGGTTCTCGAGAGTGGACAGGTGTATACATATTATTCAAAATAGGAAAGTAGTTATGATCCTGAAAATGACATTCTAAGACCTAACTTAAAAGCAACAAATCATTGGAAGGGTCTAGCTGAATAAGCATGGTAAAAGTGCCCCTAAATCAAATGAAACGTGTGATACGTCAATTGAAAGAGCTTCCTAGGAAAACCATTTCGACAAAGTTTCAGCCCTCTAGCCCCTCTTATTAGGGTAGCTACCGACCATCATTTTCATTTCATACTTGATTTCTTTCGTTCTGTCCGATAAGAAATCCGAGATACTATATCCAGAGTGTTACATATCTGAGAATTTTGCAGATTTTTATAATGAGAAACCTATCTTTAGAAAATTAAACAATATTTAAAATGCCAATTTTTTACTAAAGTTATCAAATGATAATATTTATATTTTTACAGTAGAAGCTGCCTGTCATGTTTATTAATTCATAATTTTTCCAGATTTTTTGGAAGCCAGCGTCATAGTTAAAAAAATTAAAAACCACTATTTCTTACCGTTCCGTGCACGTAAGAGTGGCCTCTAGTGACAGCAAGAGGTGTTTAAATGTAAAAAAAAAAATGGTTACACTCCTTGAAATTCTACCTACAAAATGTACCCTCTTGCACATCTTTTTAATTACAACCTGATTTATAGATGTCAGTTTCTTTGCTCGTTGATTACTTATGAAAACGGTGTCATTGCTCAATAAACTCTTCATCCTGCAAAAGGGCTTATTTAGAGAGATAGAACAAAAGAAATCAAGTATGAAATGAAAATGATGTTTAGGTCGATAACTACCCTAATAATCGGGGTAGGGAGCTACAACTTTGTCGAAATGGTTTTCCTAGCAAACTCTTTCAATCGACGTATCACACGTTTCATTTGGTTTAGGGGCACTTTTACCATGCTTATTCGGCTAAACCCTTTGTATAATATTAGACTCATGTTGAAAGAAATTATGATTGTTCTTACAGAAAAATTCAATTTGTATCGTAAATTGCAAACTTGGATCGCGATAGGAAATTTCGAATATGATTAATGCGACTAAGGATGTTTAAATTTTAACAGGCAAGATTCGATTTATCATTTAACCCTTTCATTACGTCGTCACGGTAACTGTAAAACTGTTTTTATTGCTGTTTTAACAACAACGTGTATAAAAAGAATGTTGAGGATTAGAAACAAACATTTTTTGCTCAGAAGTTGCACATTTTGTGAAGTACATAGATGGAAAAATAATTATTAGGTTGGTGCAAATGAAATCCGTTTTTGCGGATCGATATCATATATTCAATTTTGTCCGGTCATAAATTTTTATACGCAATAGTCGACAAGATGCTGTAGTACCTATTTACACGTGTATTGAATAGTAAAAAAATTCATACTACAATTACTTGGGCATTATTATCTGACGTGAAGTATAGTCGAGATATGCAAGTAATTTTTTTACATAAATTTAAATTTGCAAAAACTGTGGTAAGAGCTACTGAAGATATAAATTTAACATTTGAAGAAGCATTTGGGGTCATTTAGGAAATTTCAACGTTGGTGTGCAAAATTCAAGATTGGTGACTTTTCGTTGGAAATGGGCTAAGGAGAAGGCCAGACGGGGTCGTCGATGGTAACGTTTTAAAAAAAATTATTGGAAACAATCCACGGTTAAGAATATGAAATTTTGCTACATCCTCCCCTATTCACTAGACTTTTCCCGAATAGACTACCGTTTCATCAAGCACTTGAACAATTTTTTTAACAAATAAATTATTTCAAAACGAAGACACTGTAAAAGAAGCATTCAAAAAATGTTTGAATTCAGAGACTAACGATTTTTGTAAATTTGGACTAATGACTCTACATACACTACCGGCCGAAAATTTGGAATCGCCTGCCAATTTATATTAATATTGAATCTGCTACTAATTCTTTATTGATTTGAAATTGACGTTGTGGCGATCAATAGCACTTTACCTCATTTCGATTGATTTGAATGATAAAAAATTCGTTGAAAAATGATTACAAATGCTAACATTTTGGGGGAATTTTTGTGCAACTTGCAATGCACAGTGATTCCAAACATTTGGCCAGTAGTGTAGTTAATCGTTGGAAAAAGTGTATAGAATCGTGTAGAAAATATTTTGATTAAATACATTATTTCCTGAAGAATCACAATGTATCTAAAGATTTATTTCAAAAAACGACGTTTCGTGTGCATTAACTTAATAAATTGAATACTCAGATTGACTGAAGAGTAGGTTGTTACTTGGTTGATGAATAGAATTAATAGTGATTGAATTTATGGAAGAAATGAGGATCGACGGTTGCTATAAATAGAGTTAATTGTGCACAGTATTGAACTTTGGAATTCGTCGTAAGGCGATCAAACAGACAGAGAGATGGTATAAATAGTTGTGGTTAGATGAGATGTTGGATTTTTGGGAATTCTTGGTAGAAAAAGATAAATTAAAATTGTAATAAAGAAAAGGCTGGTTCGTCAATTAGGAAACACTGTGCAATGGGTTATAAAGTCGTGTCCAAATTAACACTCGGCTTACGAGATGTTACAATAAAGTTTCGAGAATAACTTCGTTTTCGTCAAAATGGTAACAATGTAGCCTAATCTCTTCTACACCTGCGTCTATCAGTGAGGTAGATATAATGTTGACGAAAAGTTGGAACACAAGATCAATTGGACACTTAATAATTCGATGTTAATTGGATTTAATTGAATGAACATGATAGAAGAGTCTTTGAATTGTTGTTCGAGGCTTTCGCGTTAAAGTCGTGTCTAATGGTAATTAAATCCCGACGTTTCCCCAACATAGCTGTTAGCTTTATCGAGACACGCTAATAATGTCATGTATCGTTTTGGATTTGGGTCACGGATGATTGGCTGTGAAAACCAATCGAGTGTTTTTAATTAATCAGCTGAACAATTAAAATACCGGGAGAAGCATGTTCCAAATAGGGCTAAATTGGTATCTATTGTAGTATCTCTGTTGATGTCATTTGAGTGTTTCCTTATTTCTAAGGCTACCCTGTATTTTCTTGGGAAGTACCCCGTAGTTTCGGCGATATCTCTAGATTTTTCAAATTCTACTCTATATTCCGTAATTTTGTAACCCAGTCTGGTGCACATCTCATGTTATTCGAATCTGGTGCTCACATTTTTTTTTCAATTGTTCAGCTGACAAATTGAAAACATCCAGTTGGTAGCTAACGATCCGTGACATGAGCACGGAGCATTTGCAAACCCAAATTCAAAACGACATACGATATTATTAGTGTGTCTCGATACCCTGACGAAGTTAACTGCAATGTCGATGAAACGCCGAAATTTAATTACCGTTGGATACGACCGTAACGCGGAAGCCTCGAGTAACAATTCAAGTAATCCAGGCCGTGAAAGCCTCAAAAGTCTCGTGGTAGAATGATAGAAGATAATGAATTTGTGGATCTGATAGTCATAATTGTCCAACTCACTAGCAGATAAATAGATTGGTCCTTGCCCCACAATAGGCACCAAGATCTTTGCAGTAACATTGTAAATAGCTTCCATTCGATTTTCTGGGAAATTGACATCGATGTCTATTTGCTGCTTCTTAAGATCCACGTGAAGATGATTTATGTGATAGTTGGAGACTCCACGAAGCTTAATGTTCGTTCCAATAGCCTGAAAGTTGGGTATGTCAGCAAGTACCACCTTACTGATAATCAATGGTTCTGATGGAGGGATATCCAAATCCGGAATTCCCTCGCGAAGTTTTCCGGTTAGGGCAGCCACGCTCTCGATGACGCAGTCATCGAGTTTTGGATTCCTTGCGCCGCAAATTTGAAAGTAAGAAGCTGGAAAGCAAATAGAAGATTCATTAATTGCACTTTTTTTATTATTGTTTGAAATATTTCTATTTCTATTTTCTGAGATGCGAAGTATTTTTATTCCTTCGCTTCAAATCCTGAAATTTGTCATTTTTACCTTTTGATATCTAAAGACTTCTTACCTAAATATGTCTTTGTTACCTGAAATTTTTTTATTCCTACGTTTTAAACCCTTAAATCTGTTACTTCCATCTTTCGAGTTCTGAAAATTCCTTATCTGAATATTCTTTCGAGACCTAACAATCTTTCATTCCTATTTTCCGAGATCTGAAACTTTTTAATCTCAATGTTTCTGAGACCTA